AATTCATTGCCTACATATATATATAAAAGGGTACGAGTGGGAGCAGACGCCATATTCGGTCTTCCTTTGAAAGGCCGGCGGTGTAAATGTAATAATAAAAATATAAAAAATAGAGCAATAAATATTAATTTTCAAATGTCTCCCGTGGCGCGTCTTCGCTTTCTTACTTTCTGTTTGGTTGCTGGGGAATTTTTCCTTTTAGTTTCACAATACCAGCCAATTTAATTTTCCAATTTCGAAGCTGCTAATGAATTTTTTTTTTTTGTTGATAATTTGTGTTTTCAGTTGTTCACTGATCTATAACCATGGCGAGGAAGATACTAAACGAAGGAGACTCTCTTTATGACTTCGACTTATTTGTGATTAGAACCGGAAGTGGTGGCGTTCGTGCTGCCAGACTTTCAGCAAATTTTGGAGCTAAGGCATGCTGCATCATCTCGGCCATTGGTACTGCTTAAAATTATTGAGTTCTGCATGCTCATCTGCTACTTTCCGATTTATAAATTACTCATTTTCTTTTAAATATGATGTTCAAGGTTGGGATCTGTGAGCTTCCATTTCATCCAATCAGCTCAGAAGTGATTGGGGGAGTTGGTGGAACGTAAGTAAATTATTATTCTAACTAATTTAGTGTTAGAGTAGTGGTGGAGCACATCTGGGTGTGTAGAGATTTCTTTATTAGTGATCAAAATTTGATAGTTAATGTTGTAGAGAAAAAAAATAGCTTATAGGTGTGAAATCTCATATTTTTGGTTCTCCAGATGTGTTATTGGTGGTTGTGTTCCCAAAAAGATTTTGGTGTATGGAGCAGCTTTTGGACGTGAAATTGAGGTGAGATGGTAATCTTTATTAGAATTAAATCTACTTTGCAATTACATATTAGAGAAGAGTATCCAATTCATAGTTTGTATTTTTACTTTCTAAAGTAGCAAGTACATAAACGTTTGAAAATTTTCTTTAGTAAATCCTAGAGTTTCTCTATCGAGCAATTGAAGACATCAACTTTATTAATTTATACAACAGTAGAAAATTAATAAGATCTATGATTCAATTGTGTTTCTTTGATAATCAAAGCAGCAGAAGCTGAAATTATTAGGAAGTTTTACATTTTGCTCGATAGATGAAGAGTTGCATTTTATATTCATGGGGCAGTTGGCTCTACACAGTTGTCTTGCTTTCATATGCCCTTCAGATTCTATCTGTTCTGAGAAAACTGTTAAGGTTCTTCATTAAACTATTTTTATTTCAGCTATGCTCTGTCAAAT